ACAAGCACAAGAGTCGTAGTCATCACAGTACCGTCTATATGGTACAGCCACAAAGGCAATTTGGGGTTTCCCCCGACTAAGAAAGACAGCGTCATAGGCAGAATTTTCATTGCACTACGGTTCTGAGAAAAACATGCATGCCTGCCAGTACTCCAGTCCTGAAAGACAAAAGTGTTTCCTCGCAGCGTCCAAAGTGCGATGGGGTTTCCCCCTTTTCAAAAGGACAGGCCTCACTCACTTGGCTGCTCAGTTGAGGTAGTCCCCCGATATCATGCCCGCCGCCATGGTCACCGGTGTTGGTCTTTGGTCCAGACTCCCTCTGAACGTTGCTGCTTGCGGTGCGCCCCCCTTTTTCTTGCAGCGAAGCACTGAAGGAAAAAGTCTCAGCTCCAGACTTGTCAGGGGGGGTTCACACCCCCTTCCCGGGTAGGTGAAGAGTTTGTTCTCGGTGTCGAGGGGAAATCACGTTGCACACCCTGCTCAAAGTTTACGACCCGATGAGCAGCAAGGGAATCGCACCCTGGAGGATCACAAAAGAGGTGTCGAAGTGCACGCAGCTGCGGTCACCGTCCGGGAGTGAAGTCACCGAACTCGTGGAGGACGGCCCCTAGGAAGAAGTCGCGCAGTACTGCAAACTTGCCGTACAGCTCAAGGGCTGCACTCGGGGCACTACGAAGAAGGGCCACTTGATGATAGATGCGGCAGGCGAACGACTCAAGCACCGCTGGAGGTAAGTGAGAAGGCTCCCTGGGGGTACACCCCAAGTCAACCTCTCACCTCCCTCCCCGATGCAATGGGGTGTCACAGACCCCCAAGCAAAGGTGCAGCACTTGAGCCATTTCTCTCTCTCTCCGTCTACCTCTCAGAACTCAGCCTTAGCGGTCTGAGGGTTTTGGGAAACTTACGCTCTCACAACTCGGACAAGCCAGAGCGGGCTCCCAAGGTCTAGACAAACAGACTCAGAGACAAGACCGTCAGATCACCACCATTCATCCCATCACCCATACAAGCAGAAGAGAGGCAAGGAGCATGCACAGTTTAGTCTCTTAAAGGGCAATGCAGCACCTTCCAGCACAGCAAACGAATTAAAACAGTCCTGCAGAAACAACTTCAAGTCCCATGTGACCGCATAGGGATAGGGGCGGCCCCTCGACAGGAATGATTTCAGCAGCTCTGAGGGCTGCAGCGGGCACTTGCTGCATCACGAAGGGCCTCGGCTCTTGCGCCACGGCCGTCTCGTCGGATGCGCTCCTCCAATGCGGTTATTCAGGGCGCGCCAAGTTCTGCAGGGGGTCCTCGCGCACAGCCGAAGCCGGAGGGCTTTCAGCTTCGTCATCCTCACCATCACCCAAGAAGGCTGTGTCTCAGCGTCCATCAGAGCATCACCAGCAGCATCAGCAGCCATCGACAGGAGGCAGGACAGTCGAGGGAGCCCACCGTACATGTCACCAAACAAGGGTTGTTTCTCTCACCACTCACTGCTTTTCAGACTTGAGCCAAAATGGCCTTTAGGGCAATTTAGGGTCTTGCGTTTCGGAGATGGCTTGAAGCCCAAGCTGCATGCTGGGCAGGGGGTCGTGGAGCAGCGTTTCGACAGCGGCTGAGCTGCGTCCACAGTCGCTCCTCTTGGGGCGAGGGTGACGAAGCAAACTGCGATGTGCCACACACCCACCAGCAGGGCAGCTCCGGCAAAGTTACTGGGGACGGGACTTCTGCGCTGTCTCACTTGCAGTTCCTATTCGAACAAAACATGAAATGATATAGTATAAAAAAGTATGATACAGTATAATATAATTTCAATACGGTACGTAAGGTATAGTAGAACATGAAATGATATAGCTTAGACACTCGGAAAGTCCTTCTCTCGGAGGAGCAGCTGCACATGCGTTCCTTGATTGCTGTACCTGGACTGCAGCATGGCCAGCTCCGACTCTAGGTGGAGGTTCTTGGCAGCCATCTCGGCCTTTTGGCACATCTGCTATAAGCGAAAATGATATACTATACTGTAAATGAAAGTGTAGGACCTATAGTATACTATGCTGTGATGAAATATAACATAAGAGTATAATATACCATATATCTCGGCCTTTTGGCTGGACTCCAGGGACAGGTCTTGCTGCTTTGCTGCAAGCTGGGTCATGGTTCTGGATGCCTCTGCCAGAGACTCCTCCAGGGACTCTCGGAGCCGCTGGCACTCGAAGGCGGAAGAAGAGCACGAGGATGTCAGCTGAGAGACCTCCTCATTCCTATGCTGAACTTGGTACCCATGCAAAAAAATGTAGCTTTCGCTATATTCTCAGGGATTTTAATCATTAACAAAAATCGAACAGCAGCTGCCAAGTACTTATAAGATTCGCTATTGAGGCTGCAGCACTGGTCTCAGCCAAGGCCTGAGCGGATAGGACCAGAGACTCGCGGAAAGCCTCGGCTTCTGCGGCTTTCGCTTCAAGAGCCTCCCGAAGACCGCTGTTTCTTGAATCAGCCATCCGTAAGGAAGCCTCGGCCTTGGCCAGTGCCAACCTGGGTTGCTGTCACGGAACTTAATTTGAGCTGCCATAATGGGGGTATATAGTACATAGTAGGGTTTTCTTGTTATAGTAGCTTGGTTCAAGCTCTTTAAGAACAACCCAGCAACTTGTGGCTGACGGCGTCTTCTTCTGCCAAGGCCAGGTCGCGGGACAGGCGATGGTTGGCATCTTCAATCTCTTGCCATCGTCCACCCACTGCCACGGTAACCGGAGCGGAGATCGCCATGAAAAAGCAGTTATGGCCGCAACTGTTCCCAAGCTTGCTAAGCTTCTGACTTCGCATGTAGCCCTCGCAGGTTGACAGATTTTATTACCCCATGTATGCTTCAACGATGCCTAAACGGTGCAATCGGCTCAGAGCTCAGCTGCGGGTCCCGGCCTTTTATTATTTTTTTAACAGTAACATGGTCCTTAGAGTGCTCAGATGTCCCTGCAGCCATGAGTCGGCGCTGGGCATAGCAGAGAACTCGGCAGCTGCGACTGCTGCGAAGCACCCGAAACTCCGAAACCGATCCAGCCATCGTAAACCCAAAACCCCTAAACTCCCAAACCCTTAACCCCTAAGCCCTTTTTGGACCCCTAAGCCCTAAACCCCTAAACCCTAAACCCCTAAACTCTATGTGTTGTCAATCCGGTTTACCAGTTAGGCCTCCAAACCTCAACCCTGAACCCCACAGATCCCAACTCCAACCCTAAACCCGAACTTTCCCCAGCATCCCTATCTATTGTACACCAAAAAGGTTAAAGGTTACCTACCCGACAACAAAACACCTAAACCCCAAAAGGTTCCTAAACACTAAACACATCTGGCTTCCCACCTTGTATAGGCTGCCGGCCTGGGGTCGGGCGGACACTGTGCCTACCTTTTTGGGGGCTTTGAGAATTAGAACAGTCTTCCAAGCATCAAAGCCCCAAAACTATTTGGGTTAGGGCTTAAGGGTTGGGGTTTGACGGTTTGCAAGTTGAGGGCGCAAGGGGAATTGATAACTAGGATAGGGCTTTCACCCTTTATTACGGTGCGCTGGGGTGACTATGGCCTGTGATATAGATTAGAAGGTTTCAAGTGTAAGAGGTGTTCGAAAAGCGACTGTGCCACCGCCTCAGCGTGCCCTTGTGCCTAGCGTGAAACATTGCTGAATGGGGCGACGCCGGGACAGGCTCAGGTGCAAGGTTTGAGGATTCAGGGAATTCAGGGTTCAGCAAAGCTTTCTATGGGTCCCATGTATAAGGATTCCGTATGAGGAGCCCGTGTTGGGGGGCCACTCCATGATACCTGGCCCACTGACTTCGCGACACCAGGACTTGGGGACCTATGTGGCACCCGAGATCGAAAGAGATGACCATTACGATGCATGTAAACGGGGGCACACATGGACCTGTGAAAACTCTTGGGAAACCGTAGGTCAGGTGAGTTGATCGCTTCGCAAGGTGTTGGTCGTGTTTTGTGTCGGATCGCATTAGAGTTTCGCGCTGTACATTGCTTCTGGGGCAGGCTTGGGGCAAGTGGAGGCTGGAGGAGGCCAATGACCAAACGTCCTTCGAAGCCGGGAGCGAGCAGTGGTGGGTACGGCTGCCACGGACTCAGGTCACTCGATCCCAACGGCTGTAGCGGTTTTCATAGTGAAAGCAGGCTTCTGGGTAAGGAGTTGCTTCGACCCATCTGCAGCATGCCTTCCCAGCATCTTCGGCATGGCGGCCAATGGTCCTACCACATGCCGGGCTTGGTCCAGTTTAGGTTGAGGATGGTAGGGTTTAGTCAAGCTGCTCTGTATTTGCGGAAGGTTGCTACTTGGCTTCGGAGGCCTGGCAGAAGGCTTTCGAGGCTCTGAGGTGAACGTCCCTCGAGGCTCCATGGTGCGCGACTGTGGGCAAAACACAACTCTGGGTAATAACTTCGGTTGATACCCATGTCTCGTAACATATGGAGGAACATGACGGAAGAGACATTGGTTATTGGGTTTGCGATTTGGATGTCATACCTATCCCTAGGCGCGAGGCATATGAGGTCCTTCAGCCCTATGCCCAGAAGGAAAGCGCGAAGACCCCCGAAGACTGAAGTGAATCCTAAACTTCGAAGTTTCCAAATCGAGACTTCAAGTCCCAAACAACGAACATGAAATTCCCTCACGTAAACTCTCACTCTCATCCAAGTCTAAGGCCATTTCTCAAGCACGGCACTTCGTGTGACTATCCTCTTCACCAAAGGAGCCTTTCCTGCTGCTTCTACCATCTGCAAGGCATGATTTTTTTGGTCCTTGCCTCTTGAGCACAACCACGAAGCTCTACGCTTTGTGCCGCTATACACTTATTTATCGTAAACGGAGCAAAAGGCACACACAAACAAACGCACGCAATCACGTACGCACGCACAACCCACCCACCCACGCACGCACGCACCCACCCACCCACGGTAGCCCCTTGCCACGCACTCGAACTGGTCATGCAACATGCGCAAGACTTCAGAGCCATGCACAGCGAAAGCCTTCCATATGCGATGTCAGCATGCAAAAGTAGACGAGAGCTTTGTTAAATGGAGCTCCACAGGCTCCATCCCCGCTTCTTGCTCGAAACTGGCGAACTTCCTTAGACACGGGGGGGTTGAGACAGAGAGAGAGACAGAAAGACACATAGACTCAAACACAAACACCCTCCCAGCGATAAATTCGCAAGCCCTCATTTCTTCTGGTTTGCTCTTTCAGGGACGCCATCGCCGTAGTCACAAAACTTCTGATACTTCCAACGATGCTTTCAATCCTTTCACCAGAGTTGTCGAGTCTATCGCTAGATCACTACGTTCTCCAACGAGACCCCTACCCCCTCGACAGTCCTGAATGATGGCGTGAACTTGGCCCTTTGGGGAGCTTCAGCCCTGACATCCCTGCTTCAATGCGTTTACCAAGCCCGGAGTCCAGTTACGGCCATGACCCTTCCCATCGGGGCCCACCAGCTGATGCCTTGCGCCATTGGAGCTACGAAGTTTGGGTCTTGGAATTGCCAAACTCAGGAAAAGTGCGGAAATTTTATGAAGTCAAGACAAAAAGTCAGAACAAGAGGGCTGGCTAAGACACTCTGGGCCTATGAAGCCTGGATGTTACCTCGGGCCCCGATTTCAAGAGTTGATATGGTTGATGGTGAGACAGGGTAAGCTTGTTTGCAGGAGCTCAGTTTGCTTGCAAATACAGCCGAGCTCCTCGCTCCAGCCCGCAGCTTGCAAGGAACAACGAACCCACGGAAAAGCGCAATTACTCATGATGTTTTATGCGATTATAGCATATTATAATAGTTTCCTCTGCAGAAATGCATGGAGGTTGCCACAACGACGATGGCGACACTGGCCACCAGCGGCCGCAAGTAGCAACAACAGCAACCGGAAGATTAACAGGAACGGGAACCACCAGCAGCAGCACCAGCACCAGCACCAGCACCAGCACCAGCACCATCATCATCATCATCATCATCACCACCGCCACCATCACCACCAACAGCCACCGCCACTACCCACCGTCACAGCACTCCTGCTGCAGCGACGAAACCGACAACGACAATATCTTCGACGACAACGACCTCGACTACTACGACGACGACGGCCACCAATGCAATTGCTGCTACAGCTACTACCACTACTAAGTACTGCTACTTGTGCTGCTGAAGGAATTGTGCAGCAGCAACAACCACTACTCGGACGACGACTACGCTGCGCCACACTGCCTGTTCCCACAAGGCGAAATCAACAGCTCACCGGGGGCGCGGCTTTTCGAAGGGGCTGCCATCGCGGCAGTTCGGGTACAGCGTCTTCTCCCAGCCTGGTGGTTGTCACCGTGGTCTGAAGACTTTTTTGTTTCATCAGGCCATCAGCCTGCGTTCTGTCGATGTTCTCCGACTTGAGGCCTCGTGAGGTTCGGAACATATTGGACAGTATGGGGCGGAAGGGGTTTGGGGCGATGTGCCTGTAAAGACAGGTGCCGACTCCAGGTCGAAAGCTCGACCGTCAATAGCGGATTGAATAGCCAACTTAGTCATCAGCTTGTTGTCCTGCAATCCGCAGACGCGCAGGCCTATGGTCCACACAACGCACCGGGTAGTTCTTGAGTCCGTCGGCTGTAATCTGAAGGGTCGTGCTGTTGGTTAGCTTCCGCACCAATTTTTGTGTCCGGGCTGGCCTGGGCGGATCTTCACGCTGGTCTGCTCTTGCTTGCTTGGGGTTTGGGGTCAGGGAGACCCCGGCCCGAAGGCCAACCCCCCAAGGCTCGCATCTGTGCGTCTTCGAGGCCCCTATTCGGGGGAGTGCAGAAGTGTTCCTCCAAGTGGACATATGTTGACCCCCGGAAAACACCCCTCCTAAACCATGACCAATAAATTCCATAAATCCCCCCGTATGTCTCACGGGTCATCCACTCTGCAATCTACGGTAGTGTGGACGGAGGCCTGGGCAACACAAACTGCAACACGAAGCATCAAAACACCATACAGAACAGCTGACAGACAGTGCTGGCTCCGATTCACGTCTACCGGTCGAGCTCCACTCTCCCGGATTTGCAAAAGCTCCGATCTACATCCCCGCTTGATGATGCTTGATGGTGTGCTCTCTCACTCTCTCTCTCTCTCTCTCTCTCTCTCTCTCTCTTGCTTGGATGCGATCGATGTCCAACAGCTAAGTTTACTGAGGCGGTGGTACGCATGACGATGCTGGCATCATCCTGGAATCCTTCTGAAAAAGCTTCGACCCACTACTGTATGTCCCACCTGATGTTTAGTCATTAGTCCCCACCGAAGCCAAGTCTCCAAACGCAATTGAAGCCCGTCCTGTAGCTATTTACTCAATTCCTGTGTTCTTCCCGTAAGGTCGGCTTTGGCGAAACTCGGTCCGAGTCATCTAAAGGCCAACGACCAACTTGCTTCCACATGCCCAACCTCACACGTCCAGGTTTACTCAGCCCTACAGACACAAACGAAGACAGACATGAAGGAACAAACTGAACACGAACCCTGAACCACCCCTGATCTTCCGCCGCATCCCAAAGCTGGGCACCAGGCTCCCTCCTTCAAGGATCTGAAAGCTGTCCCACTCCTGAGAGAAGAGTGATATTACAGACTTTCCTTCCCAGTGGTTCTCACGGACTTGACTTGGTACATAATTCGTGCTCAGGCACCAAGGCCTCCGGAAGGGGTGCAGCGATAATCCAAGTGGATCGAAAAGCATATGGAAAACATTTTTCTCACTCGCCCGATTCTTGCTTTGCGGGTATGTGACCATCTTTGAGGTCCCACTGCTCGTACGGTGCCGGACGATGCTTCGCAGTGACTGACGATTTGTCTGATAGAAGATGTACACAGCACGATGTCCAGCACTGAGCAGGTCTTCAGGCAACAGCAGATGCCAAGAAGCATCACACAACTCTGGTCGGTATTGTCGCTATGGCGCGACCACTCAACCAAAAAGTTCTGTTAAAACAACCAAACAGTTCTGTTAACTAAGTCAGTGCTTCTGCGAACGAGTTGGGTCGCGGGCTTGGCACGACGAGACCACTGAACCAAACGTAACGACTAAGCCAGGGATTCTGCGAAAATGTTCCGGCAGCTAAGGCCCTGCTAAACTCCCGTTCCCGCAATCCATTTTAAATGGATCGTGAGCACGAATGTACAATTCCTACTGGACCTGCTGCTATTTATCAAAAGGCCGTTGAAGCCATCTCTTCTTGAAAGGATTTCTCGACTTCTTCCATGCAAGTTGTGGCTCTTTCCAGCTGGGCATCGCAGGATTTGCCTGAAGATGCCAGGTGCATATCATCGAGCTGCAAGTTCGGGAATGCCGACATATCCTTCAAAGTGCCCAGGCTCGGCATGTCGTTATGTCGCATTCGCGACGCGATCTCCTTGGCCTTCAGTGCTAGAGCAGCCTCCCCTGAAAACTTCGGCATGAAATGCACTGCGATGTGCATGAAAATGGCTTTGAGGATGCTGTTGTAGGCGCCTGCATTGTGGTTTTGCACACTTGGGTGTGCGCAAAGGTCGTCGAAGGCCTCTGGCGACTGAGGTATCTGGTATCCTTCTTCTGCAAGGATGGGTAGGATGTGGCAAGAAGAAGATGCACTGTGAGCCTGCAGCAACCACTCTATGATGCAGGAAGATGTGAGGCTGTTCTTGGTGCACAGCAAGAGCAAGAACTGACCTTGCGCCAAGACTGCCATCCCTTGTCGCAGCCTTTCGCCGGAAGCCAGAACCCTTGGAAGAACGTTGCAGACATGCAATACATGTGGGGAGATCATGTGTAACAACACATGGGCAGTTGCAACGGCCTCCATGTCGCCATGATCTGCCAGGATCAAACATCCAGACCCAACTTCCTCAGCTGCGCTTCGGCTTGGCATCTGTGCTTTCGCAAGTTGATCTGCAATGTAGCTGATGCTTCCCTCGAACAGTTCCTGGCTCACAGTCATCGCTCTCAATGAGCCCAACCATCGCAAGGTCTCTATAATGTCTTCCACCGCAAATCCATAGCTCGCCAAGTCCTGGATATCGATGACTGTATTCTCGTAGGCACGAATGAACTCATCCGAAGGCAGAAAGAACTTCGGTAGCATCACAAGGGTCGTCTCCAGTCCCTGCATACGGGCCGTAACGAGCTCTGCAACGCACCACTTGGATGTCAAAACCTGCGGGCTGCAGAGAAAGAGGAGCTGCGACACATTGCTCGCCACGATGGCAAACAGGCGTGACAGGTCAGTCAGATCATCTGCATCCAAGAATACTTTCTGGCCGCGGAGTTGGAGCTCGATTTTCAGCAGCCGCGCCAGGCTTCCGCAGGCATTCTTCTGGTGCGAAATGAAAAAGTCAAACTTGCGCTGCATCTTCCTGGTGGCAATCTGCGAGCCTGCGGCGACCAGAGTCCATGCTGTCAGACCAAGAACTATGAGAATGAGAGCAACAGAGCAAAAGAGCAGCACGGCTGCTCTGTTCACCTCCGTCACGAAGAATGCAGCCTGGAAGATGATGGCAAGGAACACGGTGTTGGCCACCAGGTCTGCACGACAGGCATAGTCTGATCTCCAGGGCTTGAAGGAGGAGACCAGGTAGAAGTTGAGGCCAAGCAGTGCGCTGATCAGGAGAAGGCTTGCGTTGGCAGAGGGCAAAACAGGAGCTAAAGCCAGGAGCACATTCCGAATCAAGAGAAAGATAGAGAAGGCCTCACATCCAGGCCGAAATCGCAAGATCAAAAATGAGCATGCTCGAATAAAGGTCATGTCCACCATTCTCAAGCGTCTGGGGAATTCGACGAGAACGGCCCAAGTACAGGCTGACAGAAAGCATAGTGGCACAGTGCTCAAGATGGCGCCAGCTATGCACAGCTCGAGGTGGGTGTCGGAAAAGTTGCAAAAAACACCTCGGAGTTTCACTAGATTAAGCAGCGACGCTAGCTGCCTGCGCAACATGACCCTTCTTACATCCGACTTCCGTTTCTGAACAAGCCCCCCCCCCCCCACCTATGCTTGCGCGCATTGACCACATTCCGTTGGGATGGCTCTGGCACTGGAACGGCTCCGCAATAGCATTGCACTGGGCGATGAAGAAAAGCACGAAGATGGAGCCAAGGGTCTCGCAAAGAACATACCTGTCCACGTAGCCTCTCTGGCTCGAAGCTGCTTTGGACCGGACAGCGGCTCGAAAAAGATGCATCAAGCAAGGCACGACCATAAATGAACATGGAGCCCCCAATGTCTGAAGCAAGAAATTCGCTGTCGGGCCAATGCGCGCGACGCAGGAAATTGCATGCAGTGATTCCATCAGCTCTGCTAGAGACACGAAGTTCAATGCATCCAGAACGGAGGCGAATGGCTCTTCCCAATCGATGGCGATCTTCTGCACAATGGCAACCAGTTGCAAGCAAACAACAAGCTGAGTGCCGAACATACTAGCATTCAACAAGCGGTCACCATGCCTCAAATTGCGATAGTAAGCTGCTCTCAAGTAGAATCGATGTAGAAGTCCAGTGCCAGCGCCAATCAGCAGTGAAAAGAAAATCAAAATGAAGTAGTCTTCCCGACCACACGGTCCACACCCTGGCCCGTTCTGTCGCAGTCCAGGTAGGCAGGCGCTGCACGCGACGCTGCTGTTGTCTCGCCCCGAACTGCATGCACCCGGTAGACCGCCAGGGCATTGGGAAGGATTGCTGAAACATTTGAACACGGAGCCCCGGGCCCTGTTGCTGGAGAAGTACCCGGGCAGAAGCATTATTGCATTGGAACCTGGGCACTCCGCACCTTGCATGCATTCTCGACATGTTTCAGCGTCGAGAAACCAGCCTGACAAGCAGCGGCAGTAGTCCCGAGAGACAGCGCTCTCCACCTCAACCCACCTCGCAGGTCCGTAATCCTCACTGAGCCCATGCTGGTCCCGTCCCACACGAAAAGCATTCCGTCATGCCAGAGCTGTTGGCGTACGTTCCCAGCGGACAGGCATCGCAGGCGAATTGTCCTTGTAGGGAAGCAACCCTGCCTTGCTCGCATTGCAAGCAGATGGTTTCAGAGGACAACTGTTGGTGCTTGCCCAACGGACACGACTCACACCGGTAAGTTTGTCCAGATTCATCTACCAACTGTTCAGAAAAGGTTCCCGGAGTACAGACACTGCAGCTTGCTGCCGAATCTCGCGAGCTAACATACATTCCACTGGCATCGACAAGTCCGAAACCTGGAAAGCATGTGGTTTCCTTAGGAATCCACTGTGCCCATCTGTGCCGGTTCGCCTGCGCCCACTGGCATGCATAAGAATTGAGCAAGAAATCTGTTGCTCCGTACCCGTAGTTCTGGTACCCGTACGCATTCTCAGCCCGGGTGCGCTGGGCTTCTTCAAGGGTGTGTTGCACCTCCTGCATATCCAGCCGCATGTGTCTCATCATCTCATGCACCTTGAAAGCTTGTGACCTCAAACTTCGACTCACCAGTTTGCCGATGTAGGAGCCGACCGAATCCGTTCGCTTGTTCCCCTGTGCCCACTCGCTCTCACTATGGGGCGGAAATCTGATAGGATTCGGCTGGTTACTCGCCAATCCTCCATTTGGCCGAAACGCATATGTCAGGATGCGGAAGTTCGAGTAGTGATTCAAGTGTATATCGTTGTCCCAGGATATGCCGATGGCTGCAGGTATGCCGTATGCAGTTGCCCATGCCATGTAGGCATCCACCATCCAACCCCAGTAGGGAGACAGAATAGGAATGCAGGCGGTCGTATTCTGGCGGCAAGCTGGTGAAAACCAAAACCTGCCATCCCCCTGACAGTACGCATGATAGCCTCCTGGTACCTCGATCAAGCCTTCAATGTCGCCAGTCCACTGTGCATATGGGTTCATGTAGGCTATATCTGTGAACATACTGCCTGTGTCGTTGCACAGCACTATCTCGTCAGCTGGCAAGTCGGTGTATCTGTCGAAATACTTCTGTGCATCGTAATGCGACGTGTTGTATGTCCGGTAATACTCCAAAGCATAGCCCGACTCATCCCAGGCTTCTTGCAAGATCGTGCTCGAGGCATACAGCGCTTCTTCACCAGAATAGCCCATGGTTCCAAGGTCTTCGGGAGCCATGCTCGGGTGACGATCCCGAAAAGCTTCAAAGTGAACTCCGTATGCCCCAATCCAGGACTCCAGGGCGATGTGTCCCACAGCTCCTGGCCTGGTCTCATTGCAGTCAGCAGTGGAGCAAACAGACAATAGCAAAGCCGAGTCCAGCACCTCAGTTGACCACCAGCTGTAGAATTTGGTACTGTATCCCAGAGCTTCTGATATCAGAATCTCAGCGATTTTCTTCACAAAATAGGAGGAATCCCAGTTGTACGGAACAAGCACGATTTCGGTCTCAACCCCATCTGCATTCTTGATCAGAGCACGATCCTCCTCTGGAATGCCATCATAAAGGCAAACTGCAGTGGAACGAAGTGCCAGTAACGCCAGGAGCCGAAGTCCCCACCCAAACATGCGCCAAAGGCACCGGTTAACTGGCTTGTGGGACAAGGGGTCTTCGTTGCTTCAGAGGCTTATTGAAACTGTGACGTCACGACCATCGACGGCAATGTTGCGAGAATGTGACAGTACCTATCCTCACTATTCTAACAAGGTTTACATGCGATAAGCACGCCGGGCTGCTGTTGAAAGCAGAGGTTCAAAGGGCAGCAGTGTCCATCAGCAGGTGGCCATTGAACAATTCTAAAGAGCTTTCTATTGCTTCTACCCACTGGCCAAAGCTTTTAGCTGCTCGTAGGCTCAGTCCCGGAGCAAGCGCCTGCTGGCTGAGGCTGACGATGTAATAGAAGTGGCTGCCATCCCATTGCCTCGGCCCACACTTAGAACTTAGGAAAAGTCAAACCCGCAAAGCCTCTCGTAGATACTTAGCTTAGCTTAGCTCCTCTATTTCATTGTGCATGCACTCGGACAAGCGAGGCAAGGGCTGAAACTCATATATATATATACACATATCATATATCATATATTAAGCTTCTCTGTTCCATTATGCGCTGCACTCGGAGGAGCCAGGTTAGGGCTGCAACCTGTATGCTTGTTAGGTGCCTTTGCTCATGTGGAAGCCGGTTGTTGAGGGCCCGGCACCTCCAACGTTGCACATGGCGCATCGTGAAAAGTGCTGCAAGTGCACATCGCAGAATCGCATCTCGGCTCCCTGCATGTCGTTGCCTCGGAAATCGTCCCAAGTCCTTGCTTCCGAAATTCAGAACTCTGGCGGTGCATTAGGCGCAGCTTCAGATTCAGCAGTTCCTGTTGAAACCGCTTTGCCGGTCGCACTGGAAAACGGGTGACTCTTGTCGCTCGGAAGGCACTCGATCATAGCATTCTTTTCAGCAGGATAGCCTGGATACCGGTAGGGTCCCAATGGAACCGCGCCTTTTTTTGAGTTCTCTGCCCTTGTGTTGCCGTTGTGTGGAAGCATGATCTCATACCCACCTCGAGGAAACAGATAACAGCAACATCAAAACGCTAGACCTCCCAAGGCAGGTTTAGGGTTTTACTAGCGGTAGGGCTTTTTGTTGAGGACCTTTTTCCTGGTGGTAGGGTTTGGGGTTTAGGGGTGTGGGGCTGGGTAACGGTTTGGTATTTGAGGGCTTCGGCTCTTGCAACTCCTGGCAGGAGCGTTTCATGAGAGTTTAGCATTCAAGGAAACCTTTTTTGCTACTGGACTTGAGGAAACCCTAAACCTTTGACAGTTCAAGGCTTAGGGGTTCCAAGGAAGGCTCGGCACCCGACCCCATGATCTTGTAACTCTTCGAGCCGAAGTCGAAACACCTGGGCGATCCGAAAGATAGGAGTCGGGGTTTAGGGTTGAGGGCCCAGGATTATAGCGACTTTGTCTAAGACGTATAGCCTTCACGGGCAGGTTTCTCGTGAGAAGTCCAGCTTGCGCTTCGAGTTGTAGCTCCTACAGTAACATTTTGGGCAGTAGGGCGACATATGTTTATGTGTATATATATATATATATGTTTTTTTATCTATCTTTCTGTCTATCTATGCATGAGCAAGGGGCAGCCTGTGCATGCCTGTGCACCTACAACTACAGACAGAAGTGTACCAACTTCTAAAGTACGAACTACACAGCTACACACACACTTCCACTTGTGTCGGTTGATCTGTCTTCCGGATTGTATGACGGAAGATGCCCCAAATATCTTTCTGTGGGTGTGTCTGTGTATTTTTCGGATCTGTTTTCATGCTCAGACATCCTATGCATGTACCCAATAGCCTGACCTCTGGAATGCACACTACTCGAGGAAGCTGACTTCATAAACCACGAACGAAGCAATGCGTCCTTTTCTTGCTGGGCTCACGCGGTCTCCCCCTCGGGGCCACACTGCGGCCTGCCAGGCTAGTGATGTGAGTTGTGCTGCGGTAATCATGAATCAGGATTAGCGTCTTGCAACAGTTCCTTCACATCCACATCACATGCTACCAGGTGGTTTCAAGGCTTATTGCGAGCATCTGCACTGGGTGCACGTTTACGATGCCCCCGCGGGTCAGAGGGTCGACCAACCCTAAACCCTAATCACATCACATAGGCCGGTGAAAAATAATCGTAGGTGATGCCGTGGCTTCTCTAGGCTAGTGCTCCGGATTCTTCACGGCTTAAGGCCGAGGGTTTCGGAAGTGCTATTTNNTATTTTCCGTCCTGCCGGTGACAAAGTTTTTCGCTTGCAGAGTCACCAGCACTAACGAAAGAAAAGGTCGTGACACTTTGGCGAGACTTCCCCGCGGTGTCGCACAGCCCTGGACTTTGTAGTTGCTGCTAGCACACGGGATGCTATTTCTACTATTTACGATTTCTACAACGAGAATGTATAGCTCCGGGGAATCCTTCCCCACCCCCCAGCCCATATCGACTCAAACCTTCTCAAGTGAGGGGGGTTTAGTGGATCCGGGGTCTACATGAGTCTGACTCTTCTCGGCAACCCAACATTCTACTAATTCCCATAAGCGGGCCCCCCAGTACTACTACTACTACTACTA